CACACACACACAGCCGCACAAAACAACAAAGACAAAGAAGGCAATATATCCGATGTTTTCTCGTGGCAATGACTCTAGTCTGGTCAAAATTCCCATGGCTGACGACACATCGGGCACGCAGCATTTCCTTGCTCACGCTCCGTCCATTGCTCAATACAATGAATGTGGAATGTGTGTGTGCACTTTCCTGTGAGAATGGGGCAGTCGTCCCCGGGGAAGCGACATTGTGGGCAGCACGCCTCGAATTGTTGTCGACAAATACCACATGTATCATTGCGACAATCCCACATCCAACGTCCGACTAAATGGGCACCCTTGATTTTCACGTCCATTGAAACAGAGACAGTATCTCTTTCGTGCAGAAAACGAGGGGAAATGGCAACAATAAGAAGGGGAAGAGAAAAAAAAAGCAAAGCAAACAAAGAGACAGATGATGACAACATAATTACAATCATACACAAAATCTGCTCCTCCTGTCAGAGGGGAAACGAGAAAAGCAAGACAACTTATTCAGCTGATTCAATGGGGATTCAGAGTCCAGCCGTGTTTGTTTTGCCGCCCACCGAAGCTTCAATTCGACTACTAATCCGCACCACTTCCTCAAGTAGACGAGGGGGTATCTGCCGGTCTTCATTCCTTCCACCTGGCTTTATCTGCTCCTCCTCTTTAGCCGAGCTAGTTTCACTGCTGGTGCCAACAGGGGATATCATATAGTGCAGTGGATCCTGCGGCTCATCGTCGTTCCAGTTAAGCGTGTTCATGGCACGAGCTCCGTTAGGCAGATCATCCATCAAGCTCTTCTCACGTTTGGCTAATACTATTTCACTGATTGTGACGTTCCGAGTCAGAAGGAGGTCCTGTTGCTGCATCTGCTCCTGGAGCTGGGTCCTAAGACGGTGTGCAATGTGCGTCCTCAGTCTTTGCTTCTCCATCTCACCAATGCCGTCAGGGGCGTACACGCTGGGAAAAAAAACGTTGGTTTCAGGCTTTGCTTTTTGCAGTGTCTGCAGCGTGTTTGCATCTGGCATGGGCGAAATCAACGAGGCCAAGAATTCCACAGTGCAAAGGAAAAGAAAGAGAACTGACAGGGCAAGAGTTGCGTGGACCGGATGACGCGCCCGAACAGCAAGCACAAAGCCCGGATCAATTTCTTGGGCAGCGCTGCAGAAAGTCGCTGTGTCCCCCCTAAACGACGAACATGGCACCTCATGCATCGTATGGGATAAAATAGATAGCGTGTAGGCAGCAAACGCACACGCAAGTGCATTAAGAATCACGTGAAGAGCCAGCATAACGGCATAAAAGAAAGGACGCGAATTTTCCCGAGCTATTGTCCGGGTTGTGAAATAACTCACCGCTACTGCCAACAGAGACGCCATAAACATACAACACGTGGACGCAACAAGAAACCCACCTGGGCTTGTGGGGTGGCCAAAGAGAAACGCCTCCGTTACTTTTAAAAGTGCGGGATTCTTTTCGGCATCGCAAAACTGGGTGCTGCCGACGTTTGCAGACGCGTCTCCCGGTCCAGCCAGACAGTTTTTATCAGAAACATGATAACAACATGTCTCTAGGGTAGCTCTAACGTAAATGAGTAGCACCAGGCCGACAGCAAACGCAGCGACTGCAAATGTGAGGGTAAAAAAAAACGAATACGGTTAAGACGCAGAGCTGGGTGTAAACCGCGCCGCAACACCTCTATTAGCTGAAGGTCCAGTTGCCTGATGTTGGGATACCTCATCCCAGCAAAGGGTGAGTTTGGCGGAGGCGACGTTCCATCCTTGCCCCCTTCCACAGTCTGCACCTCCGCACCCAGTCTTGCAGGTACTCGTTGCGGATTGTAGACCGTTCGGTCAAGCATCATCGTCTCCAGGTTGCAGCTCTGCGCCAGTTCGCCGTAGGTAGCCGTGGACACACGCGTCCTGAGTAAATTTGACGCGACGCTGGACTTCTGGCTGTCAGGGGTTTTGGGGAGCTCGACTGTCGGCTGTCGGGTTTGGAGCCGCACCGGAAGCTGCAACGGACTCCAGCACCCCTCGCGAGGGCTAAACTCCAACGCGACAAGGGTGCGAAAACTCGGGCAGGATGGTCTTCCCAGGTTGGCGACAGTGGCCGTAGAGGGGCGATGGGCGGTGCTGGCCCTCGACACAAGCACGGACTTTCTGTCGCTCGACAGGACCACCACGTCCACGAGCAGTTCATTAAGAAATCGGAGAAAGAGACGGACAGGCAGTTTGCTCTTCTTTGCTTGACGCTTTTTTCCCACGCCGTGCAAGAAACGGTCCCGTGCAGCCTCAACAAGGTCATTGGTGTGTCGAGTGTCTCTCCACAGGCTTAGTGATGCGGCGACAAAAACGTTTTCCAAACGTAATGGCGATGAAAGAAAGTCCGTCGGCTGCAGCTTTTTCACCGAATAATACTCCTCATGTTCGGCGAGACAACTTCGGAGCTCCGGAGAGGTGCTTACGCGCTCCAGGTAGGCCTCCGGCACTGGTCGAAGCAGCACAAACTCGTGGCTCAGGTCAAACGCCTCCGCGGTGTCCGGCGCCAGAGCTGTGATGTCGCGACGTCGGTACACGCGTAGGCGAATGATGGGGTCAAAGTGTGCCGCAATAGCAACACTGTTGCTGGAATGGCAGCGCGGTGAATCCATCCATGCACAAGCCAGGCAGCTAGGAGACAGAGGCAAATAAATAGCAACATTGAGACAGAAGGAAGAAGGGTACACAGACCGTAAGGTACATTAAGCTGTACATGTGACCTGCACATAGGCTGCTCCTCAAAGAAGAAGAAAGAAACAATCACAATAAGTAAAGGAAAAGAAGAAAAGTGTCCAGCAGGCGAGCCAGGCGTTGGTACCACCCCTCCCCACACTCCCGCCTTTAACCTCCCTCAGCGCAACATAATCGCTGTGGTGGGGTGAAACCGCTTCACCGCCTCTGCCAAGGAAGTTGTGCGGTGAGAGTCCGCAGCGGCGTCCGAAAAAGGCCACACTCTCCTCAACCGTCTTATTCCTTTGGGCTTGTCTCACTCCCACTGCCGTCGTCTGAAAGCTCAGCCCCGACGGGGTACGCGGTAATCGCATTGACGTCAGCTACCAGTTGCTTGAAAGATGCAAAGTCTAACGCGCCGGCAACATACGCCGTACAAAGGTATCGACAATAATCGTGTTCTTGCCGCCATTCCTTCATTACTGCAGCAGCCAATTGCTCTAAGTCGATGGCGCATCCAGCCTCAGTTTCTCGGGCAACAAACGTGTGCAGCAAAGCATCCACAACCGCAGCGTACCTTTTAGACAAATCATACAGTCTCAACGACTCCTCTGTATCGGTAGAGTGGCCGAGCAGCTGCATGACGCCCTGCTCCTCCGAGAGAAAGTTGCCAATCACATCAGTATTTGCTCCTTCACTGAAAAACGCGTCCAGGCGATCAAGGAGGAAATCCCCCTCCATACAGAACTAGATAACTTTTGCTGCCGCCGTTTTCGAGAAGGCGCCCCCGCCTTTTCCTTCTCCCTACTAATTTCCCCAGTATGTGCCTCTTTTGCTCAGCGCGTTCCTCCCTCCCCTCTCTCTCTCTCTCTCTCTCGTT